ATTGTTTGTATATGGCCTATGGCGAACGTAATTTACTAAAGTTTAATGAAGCGGGGTTTCTGAAAAACAATCTTTTAAGAAGTAAATAACGATTGAAGTGAATGTATACACATATCAGTAGCAAGGTAAAGCCATGTAGAAGGGAACGGTAGGTTTTCTTTCGCGCCAATAGGCAATAGCGGCGTACGGGCCGCATTAGCACTAGCAGCGCATGCATTTTGCATGCGATCTCACGAAATTTCAATGAACCCCGTTCTGTCCCAATATAACCCTCACCAAAATATAAAAAAGGTTATATGGGACAGAATTATTCGGTCTAGTCTAACTACTAAACTAGTATTAGTAACTGTAAGTGTAACTTGTAAGTCACTAGGCCCTAAGTCACAGTGAGTAAGTGTCTTCTCCGCCCTCGTCCCCATCCGATATTTTCTCCCTAGTATCTATGCAGATTATGCTGATATTGTTGTCTTATAAGCTAGGCCTAGTTACCTGACGATAATGGTCGTACTAATTTGGTAAATATTCTAAATTGAAACTTTTGTGCCGGTCCTAAAACTGTAAACAGTCTCAAGGAGGCTGCCATCTTAGATCACGTATAGCTGCGCAGTATAGACTGGTCCCAAACATCATGTAGTACACTTATAGGGGTTTTTACTAGTTCAAAGCCCAGAATGATCCCTCCACTTACATGTTACGGCGAGCGCAAGTTACGATTAACAGATATTTGTAAGTATTAAATTATATAATAGTTTAGTAATAGTTCATAATATAATATATATTAAGTTAATAGAACCGAGACCCATCTGCCAGGAGAGCAGCTTTTCCCATTTGCGCAACTCGTTATGGTTGGTCCAATAATAAAACATTTACTGCCTCACTACACTTTGGACCACAGCACATTTCGCCAACAGGTGGCGATACTCTACTGTCTGTGGCAAGGCCTATGATTGGTCTGTGGCATTGTCACGGTGACACCCCCCACCCCCCACCCCACAGCCTTCCGTGTCTCGAACTCGTAGGTAAGAAGTTTTGTTTTTAGTAAAGAACTCGCATTCTCTTTAGTTCTGACGGGGGTCGATGTTCGAACGTGACTTATTTGAGATTCGTGGTTTTACTGGTACTCGCATAGTAGTATGGTAAGAATCTAGATGTAATGTATTTAAATGTTATTATGTAAAACTAGGCATGTATTGTAACATGTTGCATAGTCACAGTGTCATTCATTACTCATTAGTGAATAGTCATAGATGATAGTGTAATGCTATGGGTATGGCCATGGGTATGGTGTAAACCGACCAGGCTCTTCGACTGTTACACGACGTAGGAACGTAGTGTTAAGCGAGAATGGAACTTGTGGCTAGGTATGGTGTATACTATTACTATTACTAATGGTAAATTAGTGAATAACATTCACAGGCACCTGGAACGTCTCAATTAAAAAAAATAATGGTAAATAAACACGAAATGTATTTACTACCAAAGTCTTAATGTTTCTCTACTCTATTTTGCCTATTACTAGTACCTAATACTGAGTAATAGTACTAATAGTAATATTATTACTAATACTATTAGTATTAGTATTATTGACGATAATGACCCGTAAATGCCGATCAAATGCTCATCTGCAACACACAAGTACACCGCACGCACGCCCTGTGCACAAACAACATGAATAAGAGAGCAGGTAGGAAAGCATGATCGCAAAATTCGCTCAATGCTCGCTTCATTTCACACGATTACAGAACGAAAAGACAACTAACAGCCTTCATATTGCTTATTGGTATCTATGTGTAGCTAAATGTTCACTTGTTCGAATTATAACTCTGTCCTTTGTTCTTACCTACTCCCACCAGCGATATCTCGTGTAATCCTGCGGGAAATGTTCTCTCCGTGAAAATGTAAACCGGACGAGATGTTCGTTTATACACGAGTAATGGGGCGCATTGCATGCTGGGATGAGCTGCTGCCTGCCTCCGAGCCTCCGTTTCGAGGTCCGCCAAGCCAAGCATAATGCGCGCGGGCATGACGTCACACACACGACTACAGTGATTGATCGAAAGATCGAGTAGCGTCGTTGGGGATTTTCGGATGATACGTCCGGTTTACATTTTCACGGAGAGAACATTTCCTGTAGGATTTCACGAGATATCTCTGGCGGGAGTAGGTAAGAACAAGGGACAGAGTTATAATTCGAACAAGTGAACATTTTGCTACACATAGATACCAATATGGAGGCTGACATTTGTTGTCTTTTCGTTCTGTAATCGTGTGAAATGAAGCGAGCGTCGAGCGAATTTTGCGATCACGCTTTCCTACCTGCTTTCTTATTTGTGTTGTTTGTGCACAGGGCATGCGTGCGGTGTACTTGTGTGTTGCAGATGAGCATTTAACCGGCATTTACGGGTAATTATCGGCAATAATAGGCGAAATAGAGTAGAGAAAAATTAAGACTTTGGTAATAAATATACATTTCGTGTTTTTTTACCTTTTTTTATTTTATTGAGACGTTCCAAGTGCATGTGAGGCATGACAGTGTCAGTAATACACGTAACACAGTGTCAATGATCCACAGCCTGCCTCTGTTGAACAACTAACTACGTATATCTTAAAGCCGCACAATGCGCATCCAAACGCTAATTTCTTCAGTACTAGACTAGCAAATACTTCGTGTCATGCATAATCA